ATTTTGTTCCGTGACGCCCAGGATTGAATAGGTTTAAATTCATCGGCCAACTTAGATTCAACTTCTTCAAGAGTTTTCCCTGACACAGTTTGAGTTGTATCATCAGCATACATGTCAAGTGTAGATTCTTTAGTAATTAAAGATAGATCATTTACAAATATTATAAAAAGCAAAGGTCCTAAAACAGAACCTGAGGAACACCATGAGATACTGATTTAGGAGAGGATAAACGTTTTGCGATCATAACAGACTGTCGACGATTTTCCAAATAAGATTTAAACCAGGCAATGGCTACTAAGCCACTAAGCAGACCTTTGTCAATATTCATAWATGTAATATATACAGTATGAGTGGCCGTGTTGTATCAGATATACAACCACGAGGCGTAGCCGAGTGATTGTATATCTGATACAACACGGACACGAATGTCTAGGTTAGTTCCTTTGTGTTTCACTAAAATTTTCAAAATTAAAGTGAATTTGGCCAAGAAAATCCAACTTAAAGTTTATGCAAATGAACACAGTTTTGTATTAGGCCCCGTCCACACGTATCCGGAAATTTTTGTAAAAAAATAATTTGCGGATACGAAATTGTTTGCGTCCACACGCAGCGTATTCGAATCGTTTTCACCGTCCACACGTATCCGTTTCCGTAAAATTTGCGGATACGGACACAAAAATTTGCGGACACGTGTGGACGCAACTCGTATCAGCAAAAAAAAATTTGCGGATACAAAAATTTCCGGATACGTGTGGACGGGGCCCTTAGATTTACAACACTCTTCGCGGTCGTGATTTCTGTTGTGTTTTCCTCATGAATTATTCATGAGTTTGATAAATATAGTTTAGTATATTAAGGTGTAAGTTGACTGGTATTATGACCTGTACGGGCTACACCAAGCTAATCAGCTAGCTATCTATCTATTATATAATTACAAATGTTTGGGTCAAAGTCAAAGTTTTCAGGGAACACTTCTGAAAGTTTCTCACATGACCTCAAAATCAAAGTCCCTTTCGAAATCGTCACTGAGGTTAGTCGACGCGAAGTGTACGCGAAATCGAGGCTACATAATTTCCGAATACGGAAACGAAAAAGCAACTGACGAACAATGCTGGAGAACTGATTAAAAGCAAATCTCATACTTGGCCAGGTGTAGCACTTGTAGCACTGGTTTTGCTTTTTTTTTGAAGAATCACCTGTGTATTTATACTAAAGCAATTATTCACCCCAGGCTCAGTGAATATCGGGAATAATAACCTCAACTTTGTTTCGGTTACTATTCCCCGATATTCACATCGCCTTCGGCGAGTAATTGTTAAATATTGTTTGTTGTTTCTTAATCAGTTTCTGTGAGTTTAAGACCAGTTTGAATAGTAATGAGTAAGAGGGCTAGGTAGCTTCTACATGTTTTCTCGTAGGCTAAGCTCAAACGTCGAACTTTACATGAGCCGAACAGTTAGGCTAACTGTGCTTGACTTGGGGAAGCTGTACCGACTGACCTAGACGTGAAGATCGACTTAGTCGGTCCAAATTGAATCAGTCGAACTTAACTGGGTCAGACGCCGTACTTCACATGACCTTATTACCCTGTATTAAGTTCGGCTCATGTGAATTACGGCGTCTGACCTGGGCCTTAGTCGGTCCAAATTAATCGGTCGAACTTAATTGGGTCAAACGTCGAATTTCACATAGCTTATTTCGAACAATTAAGTAGTAGAGTGCATACCATATTTCCGTGAAAAACTTTGTTAGAAATTGCACAAATGTGCACAACTTGGTAAATTCAGCAGACCTCAGTAGACCGTACAATTTCGTTAGTGAACTTTTTCACGGATATATGGTATGCAATCTAATGATGCCTGCTCAATTGCTATATATTAACTGAATATAACCCATATATCATTATCATTATCATTATCATTATCATTATTATTATTGTTGTTATTATTATTATTATTATCATTATATGTTTATTTCAACTTCAGACATGTTTGCTACATGAATACAGAATATTGCGGGCATGAATAGTCTAAGCAAATATCACTGCATGACTAGTTTTACAATTATTTGGTTTTATTATTATTATCATTATTATATTATCATTATTATCATTATTATTATTATTGAATTATCAAGATGGTGGCGAGTAGTGCGGGCATGATCTAGTGAGCTGCTCGAATCTTCGACCTAACCGAATGTTAGCCGTGTTTAGAGTGCCATAGCACATCTAGAAAAGTGTTTAAATACTTTACTTATCGTCTAAGCTCTTTGGTGTGACGATTTGGTATCTCTGAACAGAATTATTTCCAGCTTTATTATCTCGAGTTCTTTGATCTTTATGAACCTGAAGGGCATATCATGCCCGACAAGAAGCAAACGGCGAAAATGGTCAGAAAAAATGAACATCGATCTTCTCAATTGTAAACGCAATGCTGGAAAATCCACCATTTGATAAAAATGGGAAGAAAAAAGGGTACATAAAGATTATGAAAGAGCTCTGGGATGCCGAAGGATATCAACACCTTGGACTATATCAAGTCAGAACTTACGTGATCAAGCGGCAAGACTCGAAAGACTACAAAATTCAGAAAGTATATTATCGAACACACAGATTGAACCAACTCAAGCAACTTTATTTGATGAAAATCCCTCTCAAAGTCCACTAACAGAGATTGATTCCGGAGAATTATTTAATTTTGAAGAAACGTTGAGTCAAGTACGATTTGAAAATTCACCAA